TATGTCTCCGCACTGTGGGAGGAGCTTTACAAACCCCTGCAAAAACTCAGGGAGAACATATGAACTCCACTCAGACAGTACCTCAGGTCTGGAACTGAAGCCAGGGCTCCAGAACTGGAAGGCAGCAATGCTAACCATTGCACCACTGTACCATCCTTGTCTTACAATATATTCACATATAAAGTATATTAACATTTTCTGCACGCTAACATGCAGCAAGAAAAGGGCACAATTGTACAACAACGTAACACCATTATTTCAAAGTCAGGCATCAGTATTGTTTAATGGATTTGGATTAATGGAGTCTCAGCAAAATGTAGACCTACTGTAGGAGTACAATGAAATAAAATGGAAGTCATGTTGATAAAGAGTGGAGCTTTGGTTGTCATGCATGAAGAGATGTTCTATCGAAAGGCTGTTTAACTGACCCAGCCAGACAAGGTACTTTTCTTTCCTCGTCATCCGCTCTTCTCGGTCACGTGCTCCTCACTTTATTGCACCACAGGCTTATTTCGCTTTTCTCTCTTATCCTGATTTCTCCTGATCCTACTCTAATGTTGTTGCTTCTTTCCTGCTCATCTGAATTCTATTCATTGCTGACTCTGTCTGTGTGTCTCTTTAAAGGGCATTGTAAATACAGACACTTATTGAGTTGACAACAGAGTTTCATCTGATGATAAAGCCTTTATAAACCACATTAGCCTCAGGTCAGGCTCCCGCTGTCTGGAGCTAGAGTATGAGATTACATACAAAAAAATAAAAGTGAACCTCAGCAGATTTCACAGACTCCCAGCCAGAACGAGCTTCACCTTCCGCTTGCGCAAAAATGATCTGATTAGCAAAATGTTCTTTATAAGAGATGGGGGCCCTGGACAAATGTTGTACTGTAAACAGTACAATGCAGTATTAACCCACTTTTGTTAATAATATTGGAAAGAGCGTTGCAGTTCTGTTCACACTTGAAGTGAATTATAATACAGGGCAGGGGTTCCTTAACCTGCATTCACAAGGACATCAAAGCAATTATTAAATTCATGGAAAGATGGATAGTCCACATGTCACATGTCCTGCAGATGTCTAAAAGCCACCGGAGCTGGGTGGGTTTCATTTAGCCAGGGTATCATCAATTTGCCCGGCATCTGTGATACTTGTTGTCCGGTAGACACCTCTGAACTCGAAATGTAATCTTTGAGAGCTGTATCAGTCCTCTATTTCATTTGAGCTCTGTTGTTGGTACTGAGGGTCTGGAACTGCGAAGAAAGGTTGATGGCTCAGCAGTGCCCCCTTTTCTGGAGGTCCTTCGTGCTTGTTCTGCTGCAAGCCACGTTGCCATCACATTGTTTTTATTTTTAGATGTGAGTCTTTCAATCTTTTAGGCGTAGAGTGAGTCCAAGGACAAATAAGGATTCTCCTTAACTGGATTCCATGTAGACAGTTTCCTCTCCATCCATTCAGATACAGTATTCTCCAAGAGTATCAACGTAGGTCCTGGAGCTGGAGAAAGTTTCACAGTCAGCTTAAAGGTTAAGGCAAAATCGGAGCTGTGTGTAAGGATGTGAGGGTATTTCTGGAGTCACAGGTCCTTCTCTATCTTTTAATGAATCTTCTAAATGAAGGATATTCTTCCACAGACCTTAAACCTCTACCAAATTAAGTGGATTGTAACATTACCAATGCTATAACTGTTCCATTGATCCTACCTGCTATCAATACATCGAATAATCATGGAGCTGAGCAGAGCACAAATCTGCAGCAGAGTGGAGTGAACACCTTGAAAGGGACATACAGTATTTGCATGCATGATTTGCTTTCAAGGTTAATGCTGCATAAAATATGGCGGACAGCTCTGAAGAGCAGTAAAAGAAAAATGACTCTAAGCATTGTTGTTCCTTCTTAATTGGTGCTTGTGTGCCGCTGGGAGACAAAAGTTGAAATGTGGCTTGACATTTAACCCTTGGTAGTCCAGACAGAAAAAAAAATATCTTTTTACCAGCATTAATATAACAGCCTCGGTGGTGTATCAGGGCTCAGTGACAGACCAATTTACTTCATTATTTTTTCTTACAGACAGAACTATTCTTTTCGTTTTTTACCCAGACAGGTAGAACATTCACAAGTTCTGTGCTTAATATGTTATTCCCTACATGAGTACGATCTCATGAGTCTTCAGTACTCTCTGAAAGTCTTTGTTGTAACAAAGGCAGTAACTGTTCGGAGTAATAGCTGCTGTTTTGTGTATTAATTAGTTGTCCTCTTTAAAGAGCTGGGCTGTCCGGCCATGTGCAATGAGACTCTGCCTGCAGAGCCCAGCAGTGCCTCATCACAGCTCTCTGCAGAGGCAGTCTGACAGAAAGGTTAGCAGAGGATTTATTTTGCAGTGATGTCTAATTATAAACAAGATGATATGTTTTTTTTTCTACCGACTTGACAGACCAGGCAATTACTCACTTGGGGTTCTTCTGTCCTCTTCTATTAGAAATAATTATATCTGAAATGCACAGTAAAACGCTTTAGATTGTTTCAAATAGAAAAGGGAGTGCATTAATGCAGACTTTCTTCAGTGTGAACAGATAAACAGTTAATGTTGTGAAAGGGACAGGATGTTCTGATGTGTTTAAGACAATGAAGGGTCCTCTGGGTCTGGTCATTTAGTTACACAGCTGGTGCCCTTAATTTTCATATCTTACTCCATGCCTAATCAATGCTCTCCCATCATACTTTCATAGTTATTTTACTTTAGCCCTGGGGTCTGAAATCTGTCAGGTGTAAACCACTAAAGAGGTCTGATTACATGCATTGTAACTTCAAGTGGTGTGAATTAAGTAACTAAGATATCAGCTGGATAGGAACAAACAAAAACATTATGACTGGACCATAATAATGCCGTTCAGTTGTAGCACTGTTCATTTGGACACAATCATACAACTCATATAAACCATTGCTCTGGTTCTGCTTATTATAATTTTTGCCTAGTGTTGTAAAGACCTTTAAAGACATGGAACAGAACTGCAATAAAAAAATAATAAGCAAATAACCATCCCATTTACCGTGACTCTTTTTCTTCAGGGGACATTCTTTGAAAGCCTGAGAAACCATGGGTGCAAATTTTAATGTTAGTGAAGAGGCCACAGTAGCAACCTTCTTAAGGAGGAATCCCCTTCAGGCCTATGAATCCTGCAGCACATCACTTTTTTCACCTTCACGTTGTCTAATTGAACTAATTATTTACTTCTGTGATCAAAATAATACATTGCTGTTTCCAATGAAGGGCAGCACTGTGGTGAAGTGGTTAGCATTAGTGCCTTACAGCTCTGGGGCCTTGGGTTCAGTACCCTGGGTGCTTTTTGTGTAGAGTTTGTATGTTATTCCTTTTGAACATTCCTCCAGGTTCCTCCAGTTTCCTCCCACAGTCCAAATAAGTACTGGTAGGGAAAATAAGCTCTGTTATGAGTGTGTCTGTGTGCGCCTTGCGATGGACTGGTGTCCTGTCCAGGGTGTACCCTGCCTTCTGCCCTTTGCTTGCCAAGATAGTTTCCGGCTGCCCTGCGACCCTGAATTGGATGAAGAGGTTAGAAAATAAATAGATTCAATTAAATCCTACTTTAGTTCTCCACTTTAGGGCTGGGATTAGAATTGCTTGATATCCATACCTCACACAGTAGACCGATGACTCAAACAGACATGGGTTAATGGCCTATTCTACAAGAGTTAATGGATATGATCTACCCATGATTCAAGATAGCATGTCACAGCTTTTTTAACTGATGCTGCTGTACATATAAAAGAGAAAACAGATAACTGATACTACATATAAAAGAGTGAAAAACACATATCAGGATTCTTTCAAAAGTGAGCTTTGACAGAATCACTTAAAACATGGCAAAACAGAATTCTGCTGAGCTGCTGTACTATTGTTAAAAAATGTTGTGACGTTTTTACATTGGTTTAGTCTGAGGTCATCGCTGCATTCCTAACAGGCCCTTATTCTCTAGGCTAGTGATCTAGAGGGAGTTCAGTGGGTTTTATTGGATATTCCCCTGGGAAGATATGTTTTGAGAGAGTGATGCACATTTTCTAGTGCTTTCTACATGGTTGTTGGTATGACCTTTCTTGTCAGTGTGGTTTAATATTTTATAGCCTGGTATTTAGCTGACATTATTAGAAGATAAACAAGACAAGGGGGGGAGAGGAGGAAATAATTGAATGTGGGAAAGAAACACAGAGGAAATTAGCATGTCCACAAAAAGGATTGCCTCTTTTTTCATCCACTGCTGTTTAAAGTTCAAATTGAAGTATCCTCTTCTTCAAAATCTCTTTAAGTTAAGAATAGTTTTTAATGGGCAGCTGAAATCAAGGCTCTTATTAAACAGTGTGTTTGAGCTACACTATAATCACATAAATGTCCATTTTTCCCGAAAACAGTCTTTGACTCTGTTAGCAATTGTTTTATTTTTCCTGGACACCACCTGATTATTATTTGAATATCTGCTTTGTTTTGAATTAGACTAAACAGATCAGAAGGCAAAGAAACTTAGGGGCTGAATAGAGTGAGAGAGAGTTAAAAAAGATCACAGATTGCTGGGGGACCGGGACACAGGGTATCTCTTACAGAAGGTGCACAAGCAGCTGTGATATCTGACATGTTAAGAGACTGTATGCCTTAATGGATAGAGTGAAGAGAAGAAAAAATAATGTGAGAGAACCAGAGGAAATAAAAATGTGAATAGATGGTTGTCACTAAAAACTAAAACAAAATTGTTGATTGAAAAGAAAACTTAAACCTGAAACCAGTTTGACCTTCCAGTTATCATTGAAACCAGGGGGCAGTTTGCCTACAATTTGAAGAGATTAAAAGTACAGCTTTATCACCAGATTGTTGGTTGTTTTAAAATGTGAGGTACTTTGTGTCTTTGTCTAAATTATAGTTGTGCATGATGAAGTGTTACATCATTGCTAACCCCTCTCAGGATCTGACTGTCTCTGTATTTCCTCTCTTTCAGATATGACCAGGCATTCCTCCAGTTCCTCAGCCTCCACTCCCAGCGACTGTGCCTCCACCCCCTCCCCCCTCACCCCCCCGCAGCTCTCCCCAGCAGGCAGCCCCGAGTGTTCCTCCCCCTTTGGTCCGCGGCTGCCCAGGGCCAAGCAGAACTTCTCAGCTCTGCGCCCTCCGCCAGAGGGGGCGAGCTGTGACGGGACCCCTGATGGGAGGCTTGTCAGCATTGGGAGGGCAGCAGGCAAGTATGGCAGGGGGCCATGCAAGCGCGGGTACCAGCCTGTGAAGATGGAACGCATCAAGGTCCTGACCGGAACAGAGATCGAGAGTGACTACAAGGAACCGGAGATACTGGACACTCGGGTAGTGATGGGGGAGGAAGCCTTACTACGCAACATGGAAGCACAGGGAGATAGGGTAATGAACAAGAAGACAGAAGATGAAGGAGCCATTCCAGAAAATTGCCCTCTTCTACCCTCCTCAGCCCCTGAAGAGATTCAGGAGAGACCTAATGAGGAGTCACAGTTGGACACAGGTCAGGATAGTTCGTCCGTCTCCCAGGAAGACAATCCGACACTCCAAATGGAGCTGGCCAAGGACCCTGTAAGCCTCCTCCCTTCTTCCATTCAGGAACCTATAGCTATGGATGCTGGGATGGCTGATAGTGACCCTCTTATGAGAGAAGAGGGGTCTGAGAAGACGCCGTCTCAGGATGAAGTGCCTTCCTTGTCATTTTCACAGCCCACCTACATGGCTGAGCGCCAGGAGCCGGACCACCAGCTATTGGGGTCTACCCACAGCTTAGATCCTGACCTCTACTTCACTGCCCCCTCCACCCCCATCAAGATGGTCTATTCTCAACATGTCAAGCAGCAGTGGTTCCCTGGGTCACCCACTCCTGAGTCTCCACCTGATGAGTCCCCTGACCTGCCAGAGAGCGAAGGGCTCTGTTCTCCTCCAACCTCCCCTTCGGGCTCCTATATCACAGCAGAGGGGGGAAGTTGGACCTCATCCTGCACATCCAACACCTCCCCTTCTTGTTCCCCCAACCTCATCACAGAGGGAGAGCTGCAGGAGGCCCCTGCCTGTTATGTGGAATCTCTCTCAGAGATCGGGGATGAGCTGGGAGAGGAGAGGCATGGTGCAGACAAATCTGAAGGGCTGGGGCTGGTGGAAAACATTGGCTTTGTGGAGGGCAGGGAGAGGCTGAAGAGGGAGACATGCCGCCCCAGCTGGGTGACCGAAGACATTTCCCCTCAAAGGAGTAGCAGTGGGAGGAGTACTACTTCTGGAGAAGAGGAAGGAGAGGAATCTGAAGGTTCCTTGGAGCCAGCAGAGGTGCTGGAGCCCACAGAACTCACTGCAGATGAGGATCTTGACCAAGACCAGGATTTGGACTTGGATGCCTGTGTTGCAGAGCATTTTGCCACTCTGAATGCCCCTCTCAGTCCTGAAGAAGACATTTCCACAGAGCTGGTCTCCTCTTTCCCTTTTGCGCAGCATCGGTTAGCTGCCGCAGATGCTGGAAGTCTCACCCCAGCTACCTGTTCTTCGGAGGTTTCTGACACTGATAACAACAGTCCCTGTGGAGAAATGTCCATCCTGGAGTTTCCTGGCCCCTGTGGAGAGGGCAGCCTGGAGGATGAGAGGATGATCCCTGCTTCCCTCCTGCCTTTCCATGCCAGTCTGATCTTCCAGGCAGACTCCATGGAGATCACACTGTTCCCCACTGAGGATGGGCCAGGAAACGATGTGGATGCCTATGCAGCAGGGGAGGAGGAAGGTGATGTGGATGAAGGTGATGATGAGGAGGAGGAAGAGGAGGAGGAAGTAGAAGAAGAAGGGAAGTGTGTCGAAGACGTCAATGAGGAAGACACTTCAGCCTCCTTCCTCAACTCCCTCTCTGAAAATTCCATCAATGAAGGTGTGGATGAGTCTTTTGCTTTCCAAGATGACACAGAGGAGTCCATTGACTCAGCCTCCTACAACGGGGATGAGGATGAGAGGCTGTATAGTACTGAGAGGCATGCTGAGTTATCACAGCACTTCCCTGGCCCTGATGATCCAGCAGAGGAAACACAACCCAAAGAACAAGACTCTTCCAACTCTGGCAGTGGGAGTGAGAGTGAGAGTGAAATGGAGATTTCCTCTGGGTCTTCTGATGCAGAGCATGAGCAGAAGGAGAAGTGTCCTGCCCCTAAATCCAGTTCAGGAGCATCCTTTTCTTCAAAACACCCCAAAGTCCAGGAGTTCATTGAAAGACCAGAAGAGACCTTGACAGACCAGCCTTTGGAAAATGTAGAAGAAGTGAGAGAGGGAGGCCCTGCCCAGAACATTTTCCTGGAAAGTGAAACAGAAGAACAGTGTGTAGACTCCATTATCACAGTCACTGAGGAGCCTGCTGATGCAGCTTACCAAGAGTCTTTGCAGGAAGGAGTTGTGGAGTTAGTGGAACATGATGATGTGGACAATAACATCCAGATAGAAGAGCCTGTTGTGATTTCTGGACAAAGCGACATAACAATATATCCACAGGAAAGCCAAATGGTAACAGAAAGAGATGTTCTGGCTGATGAGACAACTCTTGAGGCTGAATTAGCTGATCAGGAAAATGCCAACAGCATAGAGTATAATGACTTAAAAGTAAGTCTGGATAGTACAGCTACGAATGATCTCAATAAAGGAGTCCCTCCACTATCTTATCCCAAAGATGACCAGAGCTCCAGTAATATTCCCGTTTCAGAAACCCCTGAAATTCCCACTGATGTCCCTGATAACCTAGCTGTCACAGCATCAGATGTGTTAATCTCTGAATCCTCTCTTGACCAGGATAATCTGACCGAGAACCATCCTTGTACTGATGAAATTAGTTTAGATCCTCTTTACGTCTCCAGTGCTGTTTATAGCATGTTAGCCATTTCACCAAAGAAGGAAAACTCTGAAACCAATGTCTCAGGAAGGGGAACTACACCTGAATTGTGGGAGTCTGGAGTGCCTGTCTCCTTAGAAGAATGCTGTGAGTATGAGGCTGAAAATTTGCTGACATGTTCAATGGCAGGCCAAGTGATTAATGAACCTGTTGTCGTTCCAAATATTGAGACAAAGGATACTACCCCTGCTGACCATGAGGCCAACAATAACTGCCTTGTAAATAACAAGAATAGTGAATTTCCTGAAGATACACTCTTGGATAACTCTGATACTGGTTTGTTGGAGTCTAATCTGTCCAACTGGAAATCACTAGAAGAGATTTCTGAAGCTGGAGGAGGGGAAGATGGAAGTTCTCAGTTTCCAGAAGATGATAACAGTAACCTCCTGGGCTCCATTCTTGAAACAGCAGAGGGCAATGTCCCCCAGCACATCTTACCTGTAGTAGGAGAGGAGACTTGTGAATTGAACAATACAGATGAAAACCACTTGCCGCCCAAATCAGTAGATGATCCCAACTATTTGCAATTTAATATTCTTTCCGAAGATGAAAACAAGGATGCTAAAGACCACACCTATGCTGATTTAGCACAAGATAATCCAAGTGTCCCAGGGGAATCAGCATTATCAATTGTATCCATCTTTGAAGAGAATCCAGAGGATACTGAACACAAAGTGGTTAAAAATCAGTCTGTAAGAGGATCACTGCAGACTGAAGATGCCACTCAGGATCTCTGTGAACCTCAACCTGTCTCTTCAAATTCTCTCCCAGAGGAGGCCTCCACAAGTGCACTATCTCTGACAAGTGAAACTCAAGTCAATTGTTATCCAAAGAACGTTCCAGATCTTGAAAAGTCAGACAGCACAGGTTCTCCAGGAGGGGGGTCTACTGTTGAGCAAAACACCACACTAGGACACATACACATTTCTAAAACTGAGAATGTGACAAACAATGAAGAAGGTCCCAGTAGCATCAAGTCTGAACATGCATTCACTTTGGTTAGTGGTTCTTTTGGATCCTTCATTCCTAGACAAGTATCTTCTAAATATAAGCCAGAGGAAGCCCTTTGCCCTACCTCACCTTTAGAAATCATGGATTCTGTAAGCGAAAATAAGGCAAAGACAACAGAGTCTGAGACTGAAAACTCAACAGATGAGAAGTCTGATGAAAAGACAGATGAAAAGAAAGAGGATCCTGTTGAAGAGGAAAATACTCTTCAATCACTACACCACTCTGAGCAGGTAACTTGTTCAGAAAGAGAGAGGGGTGGAGAAATCGACAAAGACCTTGATCTTCAGGAAGAGGAAGAGCAGCAAAAACAGAATGCAGATCCTGTGGATAATAATCATGTCAGTGAACCAAAGAGTGAAGGTGCCTTTGAAGAAAATGAGAGCACAGATGTCAAAATTGATGCTTGCATCTCTGAGGAAACTATCACACCCATTGAGAACATGGGTTCCCTTCTGACAGAGAGCAAACAGAAGGCAGAATTAAACTCTCTTTCTCAAGGGAAAGATTACAAGCTTAATGAAGACGTTATAACATGTACAGAGAAAGCAAGCATTAGTCCCATAGAGGACAGTTTCTTTGAGAAGGTGACCAGTGAGCAATCAAATAGCATTCCTTTTGATGAGCAGCAAAATGCAACTGAAAGTCCTGACAAAATTAAGGGATCTGACAATGACAAACAGGAAATACACCATGAACCTGAAAGGAGTATCAGCCCCATTAAAACAACTGAATGCCACAGAGATAAAGACAAAGGACTTGAGACTACTTCTACAGCAGCTGATTCCAGCACACCAGACAACTCTTTGAAGCTGGAGTGTACTATTCAGGAGAAAGAGGGAAATATTGCTGAGGTAGTAGGTATAGATGTGTTACAAGAAAATATATCTTCTAGTGAGAGTGATCATGAAAAGGAATTAACTGACCCTGGTATTAATACACTACAAGAGAACAAGGACACATCAGACCTGACCGTTAGAGAGGGTGGGGTCATAGAGGCATCTAAGAAGGAAGATGAGGTTGAGATAAATAGCTCTTCTAATCTCACAAAAAGCTTTGAAGCTGTAGAAAAAACAGACAAGCCTATTGTCTGTTCTCCTACTTCACAGAATGATGCACCTGCATGCTGCGGGGAAGAACTGGGATCCAACAGTCAGATATGCAGTAACACAACAGAAGTGTTCAATCCACCTATTTGCACAAGCCTGTCAGGAAAAGAACAAGTTGCAGAACCCCCTGTGCCCACCTCAGTGCAAGAGGAAGAGAAGCCAAGCCCATCTATCTCTGAGATACCAGATGAAAACATGTTGGATGTCTGCAATGCTGAGGAAAGAAAATGCCAGATCGAAGGGATGAGGGACATCAATGACAATCATGTTGATGACAGCCAAAATGCTCTTGACGAACACAGTGAAACATCTCCTTTGAGTACCTCACCAGTTAATCAAGAACCCTGTGAAGAGCTTTGCATCCCTGTCCAGGAATCCCAGTCTGTGCCTTTGTGTACCCCACTGCAATCCCTCCCTGATTGTCCATCCCAGATACCCATGAACCCTCATCTGTGCTGTCCTGATTTCTCCAGCCCAATTCGATTTCCCAGTCAGCTATCCACCAAGTCTGTGTCAGGACCAGGGCAGCTCTCTTTAGTTCCTGTTCTGGACACACACACAGACCTGCAGATATCGGCACACTACTCGCAGGACAAGAAGACAGGTAACATTTGAAATCATATCCACCTCACTTTCATTTTCACATTTTCATGGTGTAGCTTAAAATGTTAAATGGTCAAATTCTAACATCTTTGCATATATAAATATAGTTTATTGAAAAATGTATAACTTCCTAGTAGAGGGGAAACAATATTTCCTTCAAAAGCATATCTGCATATCTGCAAATGGGTGGTTAAAATGTTTTGTGGCTAAAGCAGAAGAGAACAACAGAATCCACGGCAGCTGCAGATACATATAGTCTAAAACCACGAAGGAAGTCCCTTTGGTTGACCTCAGCTGCCATTTTTTAAAGAGAGCCATGAGATCTCATTCAGCAATGTGGCTGTATAGCTTTTTTCAGAGTCCTATAACCCTTTGTGCCTCAGTCTCAAATGGATTTCCTCCTATTTTCTTTCTTAGACTACTGTAGTTTATAAGGAACAAGAACCAAGTTTATTCTATGCTGAAAAAAGAAGAAAGAAAACACAACGTTTCAGCCATAGAGCCTCAGAATAAAATTATTACTTGTTCCTTTGCAACCTACGCATGCTGACACAGCTACCCACCTGAACTACTGTAGTTAATGTTTTGCTGCTTAATCTATTCAAACAGTTAAAGCACAAGGTTTTAATTGCATTGTTCCATGTTCTGGACAGGAGTGTGGACTAGGTCAGATCAGGGCTCAGGACTCATAATCAAAAAGTCCCACGTGTGACCCAGCTGTTGTATTTGTGTGTTGTATTGTGTTGGTACTTCACTAGGATTGCTTTAGTAAAATGTTCAGTTGTATAAATAAGTTAGTTTGGTAAATGTGTCATTGATAAAAAGCATATTATTATTGTAGTATAGTCATCATATTTTTTAAATTAGTGCACACTGAGTCAAAAGAATTTGATTAAAATGTTTATTAGTGTTCTCTCACATCATAAAGCATAATGCTCCATTGTCTGTATTCAATATCCAGCACTGTACTTTTTCCTGTATCACAAAAAAATAAACAACCCTCACAATTTGAGGTGAGACAGAATCAAAATGATATGAAGTTTTGGTATCCTCTGAGATCCTAAATTTACTTTTATGTGTCCTTAATTCTCTAATGTTCTGTAATTCTGTTTTTCCCCATTCAGCCAGTTCAGCAGTGGACCTCAGTGTGGATCAGCTGGACTATTGCATGGAAACTCCCTGCAAGTCCCTCACCCAGACAGACTCAGGTCCTGGTCGGAGGGTAGGGAGACAGTGTGGTTCATCCCACACGGACTCCAGCTCATCCAGCGAGAGGGAGCTCCTGTCTCCCTGCCAAAAGAACTCCCCTGTTCCAGCCCCTCATGCTGCAGCAGCTGAGCCCGAGAGATTCCAGGACAGGTTACCACGCTGCCCCATGTCCTATAGCCACAAAGGTACTTCACACCCTACAGCCTAGGCACAGGAACATGTTCAATAAGCACAATAAGCACACATGCATGGACTTTGTTTGCAATATTGTTAGTCATGTGGATTGATACTTCATTCTCTATATCCCCACTCCACTGGGAAAACTGTACATGCAAAACATATAGTGTTTAATTCAACTTTAAAAATAGTTGTTAGCAACATGCCATCCAAGTTCAAAACAGTGAACTGATCCCCTTTTAATGGAAACAGTTTCTGACTTGCATCTAGCGAGCAATACATGTGCCTGAATCTAGTACACCATCTCTATATACTGTACAGAATGTGCTTTTTTCAATGTGCTTTTTCAATTTTTTACAATGTACACATTGTAAATGCATTTGCCAAAGGTCACATTTTACATTTAAAGACTTTTTTTTGGTGGTGCATTGATTGCTAGTTCTGAATTGCCTATCTGACAGTTATTTAATGTTCAAGTACTCAAACCTAACATTTAGCCTGAACTGTTGAACACTTGTCTTTACATATTTATTCATGTTGATTTCTTCTCCTCTTAATTTCTTCTTGAAGTATGAGTCTCATTGGCAGTGAAGGAAAATAATGTGTGCATCTGCTGTACAGATTCTTCTTGAAATAATAGCATGCATTCTGTTGTGTGTGCTGCCCATGTATGTGTGCACTAGTGTGCAGACAGTGCATGTCTGCAGTGTTATTCCTGTTAGTAAACCTACACTGTGTATTTATCTGTAGGCTCCTGCAATGACTCAGAGAGTGATGACTCTGTGCCTGACCTGGAAGAGCCAGACAACCACCCACTGCAGCCTGCAGACACACAGGTGAATTCCAGGACTGCTATGAGCACTGAAATGTCTTCAATTGGATCATTGTAGAGCATTTCGAAATCTCCTCAATGCAGAGAGTTATTCAACAAAACACATCAATAGATTATTAGCAGCAGTAACATTATTGATAAACTATAAGAGGTGCAAACAAGCTTTGAGGAACTCCATGGCTTTGTATCCACAGATCATCTGCAGTTTAAACAGGAAAGAATTTGTTTATGAATGAACTCAGAGCATCACTGGCTGTTTTCCTACCAAAAATCATTAGAGATAAAAAATGTCTTGCTCTGACATGCCGAGACCCATTTGCTTTTGCACCAGCAGCAATTTTTTTCATTTTAAAATAAGATAAGATACAGTGGATCATGCCTCAGTGTTCCATTCACACCAATAGTGAATTAGTTACAGAAATCTTCAGTACCACAGACAGCTCATGCAGTCCTGGTAGCAATTCAGCACCATGGACAGCTTACAGCCTTACCCTGCAGACAGTCCTCGCACACACAGATATTTAGTCCTTCACAGAGCTAAATGCAGAAGTGTAGAACATTAAATACAAACAGAACATGCCCAGAGCTCACAGAAGCAAATATATCTTTCTAAGAAAATAGTTTATCTATAGATTTTTCTTTTCCCTTTTAAGAAGAATGAGCTTTGTGGATTTTAGTGTATTTTGAAAACTGATGATTTCTGAAAGTCTTCATTTCTGAAAGGAAGATTAAATAATATGCAGCAAAGCTCACCTACAATTTCAAACAAAAAGCTCTGCTCTATTATAAAGGTCATTTTTACTAGCTCTAAAGAAGGATATAGAAAAGGAATGCACAGTAGTTATGTTTTTAAAGTAAAGGAAGGAAGGTTGAGCAGATAAAGGTTAAGTGCATTCTAGTATTTACAGAACACTCACTGAACACTATTCACTGCCTTTTCACCATGTCTCCCTTTCTCCCTGTCCATTTATCACTCTCTTTTCCTCTGTCTCTTCCTCTGCCCTCATTCCCCTACTTCATCTCTCTTTCAGTCCCAGCTCTCTCCCTCTGCTCCTTCAGGAGACGACTCCATGAACAAGGCAAAGCAGAGCCGCAGTGAGAAAAAGGCACGCAAGGTAAGAGGCAGAGCTGGACAAAGAAACCAGCACTCAAACGCCAGTGAATCACAGGCAGAGCTAATCGAAAACAGAGCTACAATACTACAGACCTTACAACACGCATAGCATCATGACACCTTGTGAAAATGCACACGGCCTGTCTTTCTAACAACTGCTGTTTGTGTTTCTTCTTCATTGCCATGCTTCTGTGTGTTGTTCTCCCTTCCAGGCCATGTCTAAGCTGGGGCTGAGACAGATCCACGGAGTAACCCGTATAACCATCCGCAAGTCCAAGAACATCCTGTTTGTCATCACAAGACCCGACGTCTTCAAGAGCCCAGCCTCTGACATCTACATTGTATTCGGGGAGGCCAAGGTCAGGCCCCATGGCTTCAGGATAAGGAACATACCAGCAGTCCCATTCTACCAAATTCTTTTAGTCTATTGTACCCACTTGGACCCCAATCAATAACCATGTACTCCTCAGTCCTGAAAGCACATGACATTTCAAATATATACAATTCTCTAGGTAATTTAATGTTAGGAATAGTGACATGGTTCAACACTTTTTCAACACTCATCATGTCCTCAGTATTTTCAGTAAGCGCTAGTAGCAATGGACAATAAGCAGAAAGGTTTGCTGTTCCAGGAGTTCTAGGAAGCTGGTTTGTAATATTTTACCTTCACCTATTTTTCAGCCCAACCTGTGTCTTTGCCAATACCTGTAGTGTGCTTGTTCAGTTAACTGTTTACAGCCACAAGACTATTTCCATCTGAACCTGGCAGTATGACAGGTTTTAATTCTGACCCCACTTGAAGACGAATGCTGCCTTAAGTCAGATGTCCATTGTTGGTGTTGTGTTACTGCATCTCTATATGAAGCCAGAAGACCTGGGTTAATACTATGCCTAGGACTGTGCAAGAGTCATCTCTTGTTGACTAAGTCGACAAGTGATGTCCAGAGTGATGTCTCAATGTCCAGATTTAAACATCATGTGATGAAACACCGTTCTGTCTTGAAAGACAACCAGTGCGCCTCCATTGCGTGCAGCTGACAGTGTTTATTCTGTGTGCCGCAGATTGAGGACCTCTCCCAGCAGGTGCATAAGGCAGCCGCAGAGAAGTTCAAGGTGCCACTGGAGCCGTCACCCCTCATCACAGAGAGTGCCCCCAGCCTGAGCATCAAAGAGGAGAGCGAGGACGAAGAGGAGGTACCAGGGGCACATGACTCCCCTTCCTCAAAGCTTCGCTTTTATCTTATAATAGTGCAGTCACTTCTCTGACAGCTTCTTTAAAAAGTACAAGATCACTAGTGGTTTTTTGCCTTAAATGCACAACAATGTGGAGCTGCCAGTGTTTCAACTCACTGTTTATACCTTATACCACACCAGTCCGGGAGAGATGAGATCAACAGGCAGGCATCTTCAAAAGTGTGCATTGTCAAGACGATTCCTCTCAAACTGAGAGCTCAGACAGCAGTGCGGCTTTTGGGGTCACTTTAAAAACTCTTAATATTCCCAATAACAAACCAATACACATGTAATGCTACGAGACGTTTCTCTTTCCAACAGGAAATGTGAAGCCGAAAGCACAATTTTCCTGGATACGGCCTAGAATTAGCAAAAATCTAACCAGACACTTCTCTCTGTCTTTTTACATTTCTGCTCTGCCCTTTCACATTTCCCTTGCTCCTCTTCTCATTCTGCCTCTCCACACCCATTGTCTTTTCTTCTCTTTTTCCCCACCGTCTCTCTGCCGCCCCCCCCCCCAGGTGGATGAGACGGGTCTGGAAGTGCGAGATATCGAGCTTGTAATGGCCCAAGCCAACGTGTCCCGTGCCAAGGCAGTCCGCGCACTCCGGCACAACAAGAATGACATCGTCAATGCCATCATGGTAAGAGCCGACGTGCTGAACTGCCCTCTGTCAACTATTTCTCAGGACCACCGCTGTGAGAGAGTGACGGTGGACTGGTTAATGATGTGTGAGAGATGTACTCCAATTGTATGAGTATGACAGTGCTCATGGTCCTCAATGATGACCTGTTCAAAGTACTGTGGTATTATCATGGTGGGTCCTTATCGGCCACAGTGAGTGAGGCATGAGTCTTTTGATATTGAAATCAACAATGTGTTGCGTCTTCACAACCTTGACCCCCTTCTCTCTGCTCTTATCTGCAGGAGCTGACCATGTAGGAGAAAAGAGGCTTTGTCTGTACCTGCACAGTGAACCACAGCTCATACACACTATAGGCTCCACTGTATTGCTGCTACCTTGCATCCCTATACAAGCTCAATAAACCCGTCTGTTATAACCAGCCCAGTTGTTCAGTTGGTTTGTTCACAGTGGTCACGGGTTGCAAGACAACCCTTCACCTGTTTCAGGTCTTGGGTGATTATTCAGAGGCTTCTTGACATTGTTTTAACTGCCCTCTCTAGGAAATCTGCCCACCCCTGACACAGCAGCACCCTATTTTCTTCAATTCATTCATACAATAAAGCTCAGACATTTTATTCAGTTAAAACAGCTTACTTAGAAGTATACTTCTGCTTTTAGTGGAAAATGATACAAAGGTGACAAAACATTTATTTATTCCATTGGGACCTTTAGTACCATTATCCTATGCAGTTTTGATCCGAATCCTGCTAGAATCTATTTTGTCTCCGCTTCTAGGCCCTTTAAAAATACTTATTATGTCCTATTTTATTGTTGTTTCCATTTGCATTTTAATTCCAGTTTAGAATTTAATTCCTAACAACATTGTTCTTTATGAGCTAATGCCTTAACAGTATTTACAATGGGCTATTGTACCTGCTTTCCAGCAGAGTATGGCTCACTCAGTGACATCTCCCAGTGCCCTGAAGCTGGAAAACTGCAGTCAAATCAAAATAGAAAGTCCATTCATTCTCTGACCTCAAAGTTGACACAGTAATGGATTTTTTTTAAATGAAAGCATGTGCTAAAGGAATTTACAGCACACGTCTTCCATTATAAAAGGAAAGACCTGGAAATGCATTGTGGTGTGATTTAATCTTTTTAAACTGTAAGATATTAGTGCATTCATGAAAAAGCAGCTCTGAGGAGATGGATTAGTGTGAACAAAGTAGGCAGCGCTGTACACATTATCTTCCTCTGAAACTTATTACATGGAATAATGACAAGCATCCCTGTGAGGTGTATTTTGATTCTGTTGCAGACTAACAACAATTGAATTCAGCCTTTACAGAATTTAAACCTTTACAACAGAAACAAACTAGGCTACTGTACAGCATTGGTTGGGATGCACACTTAAGGTACAGCTAAACACAGTTTCTTCAGCCTCTCAACCCTGCTGCCTGTGCTGTTGTCAGCAGCCTCTGCTCTATCTGCAGGACCGTAGCCCCTGGCAACTACTGCCCTGGAAACAGAACCCTGATCTGTCATCCTGAATAAGCTCGCAGTGCTTTATACCCACAAGGGCCTTTACAACTCTTGACTGACTGCTTTCTTCATCTTTTGTTGCACTGGCATCCTTTCTAAATCATAGAAACACTTCATTACATTTTTGTGCAAGACAACCATTAATAAAATATTTTAAGAAAAATGTTTTAAAGTAAACATGGAACAGTCTTGTCAGCTTTAAAATCTAAGGATCTTTTAACAAACATAATTTGATTCATTAGGAGAGTTTGGACTGCCATAGTCCCAGGTTGCCCAAGATATCGTAGGTTCAGAGTTTCTTCGGAGTGGGAAACAATCTTCACCAATCACATTTTCTTCTGTCCTCCATTTAAACATGACACTTTGGTAAATAATGTGGTGATGTTTCACTCTTTGACCAGGTGGTTCCATAATGAATTAGGCTAATTTAGTTTTACTATGCTACTATATGAGAATTACTACAATGGTATGAGGGGTGATGTAGGGTACTGGGTACATCACTGGACTCCTAAAGCAGTGGAAGTAATAGTAAAATGACCAGAAAAACCAAGATGAAAGAGCAAAATTAGCACATTTACAATGGCAAACGTTAACAAGAGGAACTATCAAGTAGCCATAACCTTCACATTCAGAGCTCCAAGCAGAGCTGTGAAACAGAGCTTTAATAGCCTCGCACCCCTGAGCACCTGACCTCTTCAGCTTTGAGCTTTGGGCACTTGCTTGGTAAGATAAGAACCCCAGTGGATATTGACGTGCCTCATGGAAAGTGTCAAGCCCTAAACTGCAGGAGGGCACAGCTGTGCTCCTAGAAGTGTGCAGTCCAGCAGGACACATACTGTAGGTCTCTGCAAACAGGAAATCAGGAGATGAAGAAGTTTGGTGGAGGAACAGCAGAATACCCTATATTCCTCCGGCATAGGACATACATACCATTGCTTTATTAGCCTGAAAGGAAAATAGGAATACTGTATAAGGGTAAGGGAAATGGTATGACCATTTGAAAGCAATTCACCAAAAACACGATTTGCTTTGTGCCTGTCTTTCTAGAGCAGTCTGTATAGGGACCACTTCCTGTCTGTCTGTTACAGCGGCAGCAACAGTGTGTGTAACGAACAGTTCTTTCCGGACCCTATGCGGACGACACAGTCCGACGAGTGGGGGAACACTGGGGAAACGTCATGCAGGAAAACGGGGCTGAAGACAGGGGGGCGTGTCCAGGGTGCGCTGGTGCACGGGGAGGTGTGGCCGAGGCGAACAATCCGAGAGAGTAGTCCTTTGGGAATATCCAAAACACAAGGGTAAGTCCAAAACCATAAGATCCATCAGAACAAGAATTAAAAACCACGAAGGCCGGGTCGGAACCGGCGGACGGGAACGGGGACAGAGGTTAAAACCAGGCGCTTCCAGGTCCCGGACTCGCACGATATGGAAATCAGATGCAGAGCCCGGATGAGCGTCAGCGCCTGGCTTTTAAGGTGGGCTGGGAATAGGGAACAGGTGCAGAGGATAAAGTCTTAGTGAAAGGGCTGGAGCACCCTTAAGGAGGGGGGACTATAATCGTGACAGTGTGTCTCTGCCCTGCTACTGCAGCAGTTGCCTGCTATGGGCAGGTGTGCAAGGGGACGGGTTGAGCTGGTCAGAAGGAAGTCTTATCCTCCTGTGTTAATAATTAACGGTTTTAAAAAGTGGCATGGATTTGGTGCTGCATGTTGTCGTGGAGACTCACTTTGGCAGAGGTGTTACGGAGGGGAGAGGACTCGTTAATTTCGTGCCAGATGATGACACAAAGTGGGGATAGCAGGAAGGGTGTCTCCCCACTCTCATCCATACACACCGGCAGGTCAGTTTGGTAAAACGGCATTACCTCTCCTGAGAAGGATACACAACATAACACACAGACACATGCAGACATACATAAACATGCTGTGACAGACCTATGTCTCCTCAGGTGACTTGTGAGGCCTGAATTCCTTGTCAAACTGCAAGACAAATATGGTGCAAAGAGTTTCTCTATTTTAGTAAATGTGTTCAAGATACAGACAAAAGAAACACCTGCTCTAACAATCCAACATCAACTGTCAATGTGAATTCCTTTACATACCAAAACTAGTTTAAATTAAACCCATGTGAGAAAATGGCTCTACGCCCCTCGCTAATATACAATTAATCAACTAGCACAAGTGAATCTATATACAGTACTGTACAAAGACTAGGGGCCCTAACGACCTCTAGTGGCAGGTGAGCTGAATTATTAGCTCAATACAGTACGCAGTTTGAATACAGTATGCGTTGCTGGCCTGCAACACATACAGTACTGCATTCAACGAGAAGAATGCATAAGCACTCTCTAGGATGAGTACTAGAATCTTCTAATCTATCAAGCACATAAGTGCAGAGCTAAACACACAGGGAGTTTCTGTTGTCTCTCTTTAGTGCACAGAAGCATGTGCTCCCTTCTGCATTTCTGAAGATGAGTGCATATCTGAATTCTGGAGAATTTAGCTGTGTGAAAAGGCTGAGCCTCCTGCTGTGGTAGAGCTCAACACTCTCAGTTTTCCAAGGGGGTGATGTCATCTTCTGTAGCAGGCTCAGGACGAAATGAGCAATCTTGGCGGCAGACTGAGAACAATTCTCCATGATCTGAGTCACAGTACCAAGGTGATGAGTAAAACTCCACCTGGTGTGCATTGGCACTTCTGGCTTCAGAGCTACACAGCTCCATGCGACAGTGGAGAACTCTATTAAGACAAAAGGCTGGTCCTCCTGTTGTGGAATTCAGCACTTCACAGCTTTCAATAGATAACAGACTTAATGCTACATGAACCAAGCTGCACACATTTAATATAGGCGAGACTTACGTAAATGTGACTGTGTGCACCCTGTCTTGTTCAGCACTGCTTCATGTGTATATCGTCTTTCATGTGTACCCACACATGATACATGTGGAATAATTTCTGCCGTGCATCTGCAGTGTTACCCCTTTAATGAATGAAAATGGTTCTAGTGATTTGAAAGGTGCCACTGCTGTGAAATAGTGTACAATTACTCTGCAAGAGAAACTGGAGTGATATGAGGGTGGCCAGTCACCTCCTTCCCCTGTAATGATGGTTTTATTATCTTCACCATTGACACAATTTTGAAGAACTAAGAACATATAAAAGGTGTAGAAAATCCAGACTCTCAGTCAGGTTTGTTTGTGAGAAGGTGCAGTGAGTTTATTATGTATGCATACAGGGACTGATCAGCCACAGGAGCCGTAGTCAATTCAAAGTACGAGGCTGGGACTTTCCCATTTACATAGTCAAGCAGTTACAAAAAACCAAGTACAGAGGAGGAAGCATTTCATGAGGAGTGATACCACTCCAAGGGAGTAGTTAACATATTTGTGTAATAAGGCATTAAGCAAAGATATTGCAGAACAAGGACAGCTTATTTACAACTCCAGATATCCACTCCTCACTAGTCCTTGAACATTATTTTTAAGTCCAGTTCAATTTCAGCTCTGTAAATCTTATCTGACATCTTCTGTTACTCCTCAGACAGCTAAGAGCTCTGATATGCTCTTAACCCTTTCCTTCAAAGGTTATGCACATTTGTGATCATATATGAATTGCGATTACAAAACAGTGGACTGGAATGCTATAGGAGATGGAAAATCTATTGAAAAGATTAATTCAAGATCACATTTTATAGTCCCACTAAGTCTTTTCTCCATCCAAACTGAAGCTACAGTACCAGTGATGACCCATGAAGTAGTTAAGCTTGCTCATCAAATTCAACATGAGACCGACCTTGAAGATGTCAAAAACCTCTCAGAAGTGCACTCCGAAGAGCTGACAACTGAGGACTTGATAAGCTTTGATAAGATAAGCTTTGATAAGAACAGAGTATCACAGATGTCAGAAGGGCAAGCCATGGAATGAGCAGTAGAGACCCAATGCGTAGCTGCAAAAGGGGCAACATGAGGGTTAGCCCGGGCTCAGGGGGTCAGACGATGTCGGAAAGAAACCTATGCCCTCAGGCCATGGACAGGAGTCACCTGGTGCTAAGCGGGTCTCAGGTGCTCAATGCTGAGCAAAGAGCAGAGCAGACGCAGGAAGTAAATACTGTAGGCTACACAACAAGACACACTGGAAAGACAGGAATAATCACAGGGAACTAGGAACAGGACAAAAGTAGAGCGCCCTCTAGGTGTACAGAACATGACAGTACCCCCCCTTCAAGGGTGGCTCATGACGCCAAAAAAAGAGCTGCACAGCACTGGGGGGAGGAAAAACCTAATTAACTGTAAGAAAACCTCCAGGAGTCCTCGGCTGAGAGCTACCTCCTCCTCCGGGGTAAAAAACCTTTATTGAGTAGAGGAAGGGGAGGCCGGACTGGGCTCCGGAGGAGCAAGACAAAAAACCAGACCGAACAAGTAAAAAATCACGCACTACAAAAAATAAACCCTGATGTAACAGGGGAACACATAAAAAAATGACTGTTCAGCACCTCAGAGAGATTTTGCCTCTGTCCGTCTGTCTTCAAAGATATACCTTCTGCACACAGACTGGCCTCTGGGTACAACTGCTCCTACATCACAGATGAGCCCCCATCTCCACCTGTGCTTCCAACCTGTCTCTGTCATCAGAGGGGGCACCAGTCTTTCTCCCTCCCCCCCCATAATCCAGTCCAGCAAATCTAGTGAGGTCAGTGTACTTCCTGTTTCCATAACAACTTGTGGGAGAGTCTAGACTCCGCAGTGCCCAGGGAGGGGTCCCTGCACTCAGCCACCCAGGCAGAAAGGAACAACTGGGTCAGGACACAACAAGCAACAAGACTCCTGCATCTCCTGTGAAGCTACTTCCTCCAAAGCAGACGCTAAGGCCCATTTCGCACCAATGGCACCCTACTTACCAAGTCATGCTGGAAAAAATTGACATGCTTTCCATCTTCCAGTGCGACCCTCGGCACCTTGTAAATAATGTTGATTGTCGTAGTTTAATTCCCCAGAGTCTTCATTTTCCTGGCAGCTGTGTTGTCTGGGCATCTGAATGAAAAACAGACAAATGAGTGGAATCTAGTTTCCTTGGAGGATTGGCTTAATCCTTGGAATGAACTGGTGGTTGAGGACCCAGGAGTTACCAGAATAAACAATCAGGTCATATTGTGAAGGTTGATACACTGTGATCTTTCAATACTCAGTTCTGTGTTTGGTACAATCATTTCAAACATAAAGGATAGTATGGGCTTGTAAGGCTGTAATGAAATGGCAATATTCAGTGGCAAAGTGACACCTCCAGGAAGATACTAAAGACAACGAGGCCTGTGTGTGAGGATTTCTTTGGAACTCTATGGATGCACAATGTGAAAGGTGAAAATATTTAATTTCAAGAAACATGATTAGTTGAAGACTTCAGTGAGCTTTTATGTCAGGCAGTCCTGGGGTTGTCTTTTATGTGCTTTCCAAATCTCATTTCACAAAAGGTTTTATCCAATAAAAATGTGTTTAGCATTTGTTTCATTTGAGAAATAAAAATGTGTTTG